GTTTCTGAATCGTTAGCACCCCCTGTAGAAGCAGGAAGCAGTACTAAATTAGGTAAAGAACAATTTCTTTGTTCATACAAATATACCTGTATTAGTATCTATATTTTAATTAATTGATGTTTGCTATTTACTCGTATATTGTGCTAATTATATTTATTACTGCATTTATACTTTGTTATTAAATTTGTTAATTTTATTTTTGTTTTTTTTTTCAATTTCCATTTAAAACAAAAAAAAATAAAATTTGGTGTAATTTTGAAATGCGCGCCTTTGGTTACGCTTCATAGTTTGATGTATAGATGGCAGTGAAATTCGAAGTTTTCTTTGCCAATACCATTTATATATATATTCCAAGTATCGTCTACTAATGTGGGGTAAACTTAGATGTCACTACTATCGTCCAAATCTTGAGAGTTTTACATCTATTTACCTAGTCTACCCTTTGTAGATCTATTATCTATGGGGATTGTCCCGTTTAAGTCATTCACTTAAACGGGGGAATCCCGCAATAACCAATGTAATTCAATGCACATTTTTGGGCCCACGCGTAACCCCAGTCATTTGTCATTTCTGAAGTGAAAACTCTATAGGCACGTATGACAGTTTTTTTATGTCAGTATGATCTTGTACAATCTGCTTCGTAGCTTAAAATTATACAAGAAACAAGCGAAATGGCTCAGTAGTATAGGCGTTTGACTATCATGCTTAGAGCATATATATACATAATTAATTTTTTACTAATTGCTTTTGTTTGATTGCTTAGGACCTTAAAGTTACTGTAGGAAATTGTCATTTTGTTTCAGGGCAACGTACGCTAATCAGTACAAAATGTTGATTACTAATGAATAATTATTATCGAAATGCCGAATGAATTTAAATTTTCCACCCTACCGTCTACTGTACTGTATCAATCAATGACAATAATACATATCTATAATTTCTCTAGGACTTCAGTGTGTTTTCCCTATCTCTAGTTTTCCCTATGTCGAAATATCAAATTTTATTTCAAAAATGTACAAATTATCTATGGTGCAAATGATTCGGAAAAATGTCAGAAGGAGGGATTCGTGTCTATGGAAGAATTTCAGTACAATATAGCATAGCAATAGTTTTAAATAAAATATATACTATTTTTAAAGAAATGCTGTTAGAACTAGAATATTACAAGTTTAGAAGTGATAGGTTATTGATGTAACCTATTACAAAAAAATAAATTGTCCTTATGTAAATGTATGGATTGATATAACAGGTAATTTAACTTTAATAAAATAACAATAATACATATTATGCTTATATTGCAGCTTATCAAGATAGTAAAATAAAAACACCTAATTTAGGGACAATGAAAAGTTTTATAATACCTAATTTTCAAGGTCTTATGTACGAAACTATAAAATATTATGTATGCATTAGGTATAACTGTCTTGTTACAGAGAATCTATCGAAGAAACTTCTGATAAAGTTGTTGTAATATCAATAATAGGAAAAAGTGCATATTCTGTTTTGGGGCAGAAAGTAAGAGGATTGGAGATAATGTTCAATTTATCAAGTAATAATACAAATGAAGTAAGTTAAATAGAAAATTAAAAAATCACTTTTATAAATATATATTTTCCTTAGTATTCAATTGAAGGTTCTTTTGATGAAGAAAATCAAATAATTTACTTAAATGTAAGAAGCATGATGGATACTGATATTTTTATAGAGCATTATGAAGAACTCGTTAAAAAATATGAGCAATATCATAAAACCAGTGATTTTCTTGCAGTTTATAATGAAATTAAAAGTGTTTTTGCTAGAATATTGTTACTGCTATTTTCTGTTAGTCATATTGTAATTCTTTCACATCCTAAACCAATATTTGATGTCAGTTATATCCAATTTTTAAAAGCAGTTGACTCTCTAAGGTATGTAATGTAGTCTTTAAAGGAATATAAAATTTTATTACAATCTTAATATTATATTTACTTTCAGAATGAGTATTTGTAATAGCTTAACAGATACTCTTAAGCAAGTAGATGGTTTGCCTCAAGAATGGGTTGTAAATAATCGGTTTTGTGTACCACGTTTACTTTTTTACTTTGATTCTGGTTTTAAAGGTATACAGAATATTAAAAAAATGGAACATAATATGGAAGATAGAATATACCACATATTAAGGAAAACAAGGATTATAGGAAATTTTGGGTAATTAATGTTTTGGTATAGGTTTATCATACTGCTTAGTATATTTTTAATAGACACAATTTAATTTCTACTAATGGAATCATGTTCTGTGTTTGTACAATAGAGTACGTTTTTAATTTACATTATTAATACCAACCTTCTCAAGCAAATTTATAAGCTTAGTTTGTGATGTTAGTTTGTTGATCATGCTCGAAAAAAAAATTACCAGTGCATAGAAAAGTCTGAATATATTTATTTGTTAAGAATAACATTGTGAATATTAAAAATGTACTATTATCTCAATTTGTAAATATTATTTGAGATAATTGCGATATCAAATCTTAGTCGTTCTGTAATAAGACTAGAAAGTTGAGAGATATTTCTAATTCACTGTAGTGACATAACTGCGACGAATTAAGATATCGCTGAATTACATGCATCCTGCTATGTTTTCTTATAAAAACTAACTGTATTGGTACATCTGATTATGAAGCCCTGCGTATAACTACCCAAAGAAAGATAAAATTCTAAATTTTCATTTATACCAATCATTTGTGAATGTTTGTGGCATAAATGATTTTGTTTGTGTTTGATTAGTTAATTAATTATTAATACCTACACCAATTAAGATCGTGATTAGCTAACATTTTTTTAATATTGTAAAATAGACTTTGGGTACTCGGTCTTGTGAATTCGAAATATACAAAGGAATATTATTGTAAATGCTTATTTTTCGAAGGAAAATGCAAAATAAATTAAAATTTTCAATGCCCGCCAGTGTAACCGTATTGGTTACATTAGAGAGCACCGAAAAATTGAAATTTTTTTGTTTTTCCTCAAAAAATATAAGCATACACAAACATTTTAACTTTCATATTCAGAATTCACAAACGATTTTCGACGGATTTGTATCAACCTCAAAGGTAGACCAATAAGACACTCAAATTAGCACAAAAATAACATATTCACACATAACGTCTGAACTTCACACTGTGAAAATATTGTAGCCTTATAACTCTTTTCTTATTAACTAACTAATAATACATTGGACTTGGTAGCTAATGATGTAACCAATCTACTGCCCTTTCGGTTTTTAAAACATTCTTAGTCTGAGTTATACATATTTTACTTAGTGATGTGTTTTGAGTTTAATGGCTATGTAGCAGATTACTAAATTTCCGTTAATACTAACTAATTAATAGTCTCTGGAAATTTGAATTCAAATGAAAAGTAATGAATGCATAAATAATAAAACAGTAGAGTGCTTCAACAAAATATTTATAAATACTCAACAATTTTATCGACTAAAGAGTCATTATCAAAAGACTAAATAATATATTCATCATAACACATCTATAGTTGGTTATAATATAAAAATTAATGATTTTGTAGCTTAGACTCTTTTATAATGCATTAATTTGTAAGAAGCTTTTAATTATATTTTTATTAATTTTTAGATCTAGCTTATTTTCAATTCCACTGAATGAAGAATTTGTTTTCATTTCAACAGAAGAACAAGTTGACAAATTAGGTCAAGCTGTTAAAAGGCTCTATGTTAGTTGTCAACAGGGTCGCACAATGCCAATAAAACCACCATTCTTTAGTAACCCAACTCCAGAACACAGTATTCAAGCTCTTTTGCAAGTACATGTACAAAAAGCTCGAAGCAAAGGATTTGATGATAACGTTTCAAGCCGACATTCACAACAACCAACTTACTTCCTGGTAAGATATGTCTGCTTATAAGTTTGTAGCAAGTAAAAAATGTTATTTTAAAATTTATATATGTACACTGCAACTATCTTTAATCTTTGTACACTACTTTTATTTGTGTAATGCAGATACAGATTTAATGTAATATTTAGTCCGAGTTTACTGTATATAAAGGCTGTGTTTAAAAAATGTTTGTTTTAGCTTCCTACAGTTAAGCAATGGACAGGAGCTTGTAAAGTATTGTATGAAGTCATTATAAAACCTGAATTATTACCAACTCTTTGTACTGACACAAAATTTTCTGAACAACGTTGTCTAAAAGTTCTTCCTATTGCAATGGCTAGATACCAGGAAGGCTTACCTAGTCACTATACAAAAGCGGTTCACGAGGGACGTTTAGCTATCGCGCTGGCCCTTTTTGCTGCACAAGCCAGAGGATCTTTATTCCAGAAGTATAGTGAACAATTAATAACAGAATGTCAGGCCTATTGGGAATCAGGAAGGCAACTGTGTGAAGTTGCTTCACTAACGGGAAACCCATGCACATTACCAAAACACAGCAGAGGAGAGCATTGTAGCGGCGTTAGATATGTTGGTAAGATTTTTTAAGAACTCTATTAATTTTGCAGTTTGTTAATAAATTAATGTATTATTTACCTGAACAGTTTGAAATATAAAAAGGGGTTATTTCGTTATTAGAGACAGACACTTTACATAAAAGTAAAATTGATGTGTGTCAGTTAATATCGAAATAACTGTCTTGTTTTAAGCTCATATACTCATTTGTATGCTATTAAAATATAAATGATCCTTAAAAAAAATTGTCTGTCATACTGTACAGACTAATCGGTAGGGCATAAAGAACAGGCTATTGGGAGTAATTTAAGCTACTTATTGTTTGTTTAACTATCAATCAACATGAGCTCTTCCCTCACCGCAATCGTCTGTGTAGAATACAAGTCAAAGTTGCAGAACGGATCAACGCGTTTCATGTGTCAAATTTGTAGAATTTGTTAGTATATTTAACTAGTTAGGGATACATACGTCACTTTATTGCCCTTACCCTGATCGATTTGGGTATTTTTCCAGATTATAAATATTATAAAGGTCTGTCGCCTCTTCATAAAAATCAAATTTGTAGCGTTATTAGCCTTTAAACAATTTACATCTCGGAAATCTTAAAGAGTCCTGCCCGTTATCTTCTTGGAGGGAAAATGATTGTACTAACACTGACAAGCAAATTTATACAAGATTAATTCTTTAATATCAGTACAACATTCAAATCATGTAGTAGTCACAATACAACATTCAACATACACAAACAATAAAAGACAATGTGGAAATTTTGCCAGAAAATAGTTAGGTCATATTGTACCTAAGTTTCAATAGTATTTTACCTAAGTTTTCTAAAGTCGTTTTCCGATAATGTTGGGAAAAAAACAAGATTGAATAATATTTCGATGTTGCATATTTATCTTAATGTTGACCGAGTTAATTTTAAAAAGTACGAAACGATCAACAACTTTCGCGAAAAATTGTATTTACAGTATGTATATACAGTTTTTAGACATTTGTCCATTTTTATGAATTGTTTTTTGAAGTACGAAATTACATTCCCACCTGTTCTCTTCCCCTTCTCCCACTATTAAAGCTCATCACATGGTTTGAATATGTTCCGCTACGCTTGCTTCACAGATGTGAAAAGGAGATAATCAAGAGTGATTTATGTTAATTGTTTATACTTTTATTATAAACAATTAAAAGTAGTTTACGTGGACGTAACTGCTAGTGTATAACTAAATTGCATTTACGTAGGATTTGTTTATATGAAAGGAATAGCATATCCAGCTTCTGTTTGGTTCTCTGATGATGGGAGTCGTAGAAGTCGACAAATATTTTTTTGAAAATTTTAGATTTCAAACAAATGAATGGTTTTCACTACAGTCGTTAGTAGCTACGTAAGACTTAAATATGTAAAGCAGGTCGGTTTAATAATCAATACCATAAATAGCGCTAGGACACATGAGTAAAGTCACAAACATGTAAAACTTATTATATATTAATATTATTTTTTTTACATTTATATCGTTTTTGATAGTTTTTTAGTTTCGTTTGTTTTAATTGAAATGTTTAATATAAAATATTTTTAGCCTCTTGTGATTGTGGTCGCAAACAGTGTTCCCGTGAAGATCCCTATACTGCTCAGCAGGCAAATTACGATTTCTATCAGATGTTAAGTAAAGAATGCGTATGTGGAACACTTGATCGGATAAATTTTCCCGTTTTCGAACCCAGTACTAAAGAGTTCAAAGCAGCCACGCTTGCTGAATCTGAGGAACACCTGTCTGTACATTCAGAAGATCGCAGTCAGCTAACTCCAGGAATGGAAAAGAGCTTAGTACGTCAGCCGAGTACCACTGAGTATCTACCGGGAATGCTTACACTTAGCTCGCCTCCTGGATTATTACCCACGTTTTCAAGTTGGTCGTTGCTTTGTTTAGGACCTTCATCTCTTTACAGTCATAACTTGGGCCTCTCCGAATCCCAACATCCAGGATTTTTAAACGCTACTAATTATTTATTGCCGTGGGATGTCACTGTAACATCTAAGGTAGAGTTTTGTATTTTTATTGCATAACCAGCTGAGCCTATCCAAATCTGGACGATGGTATCCGTAGACATAGAGAATGGACCGAGCAATACCTTAATGAAATTGACCATTCTCTAGAAAGAGAGAAAACGACCTTGTGGTCAATACTACTTGTCTCTTTTTCTCTTTCTTTACCTTATTCGTCTGCTCCTGCAAGACTGTAACGTAGACCACTCAAAATTTTAAAAAAGACAACTACTGGCCGCACGATTGCTTTGTCTCCCTCACACGTTTCTGCCTGTATTTACTTTATGGATAGATATAAAATGCACAGTCCATTGTTTATGTCTATGGTAGTACCCCTTGTCGATGGTGCATAGCACTTACAATTTAATTTCGGTGATATCTTTATGATCTATGTATATGCAGCTAACTATATACCCGAATTTATTGGTTATAAGCTATAACATATCATTAGAATGGAAGCAACCAACTGTAAATCCGAATATTGACACGCCTACCTTTTTACTTATAAAAATGCTATCCAAATTTTGTTTGACATCCTTTTTTATGAATTCTACTACACAACAAGTTATATAAAATATATGCATAAAATTATGAGCATGGTATGAATAGAGTATAATACATCGTAGGTATACATATAAGACAATTTTTTATACTAAATGAATTTGGGATATTTCGGAACTATTCGATTAGATTCGATAATATTCGGCAGGCACACCACGCGTTGTTTCCTATCTCGAAAACATTATAGTAACAGCATAATTTTTTATATATACTTATTATTTCACAAATCGACTTAGTTATTAATTACTAATTAAGGTTAGTTGATTTTTGCTTTTATATTCAGAGTAGAACGTCGTGGCCTCAAATGGGAAAACATCCAGTAAGAGGCCGTAGACCAAGAATGAGCGGTAGCTTGCCACAGTTTACCGTGAAAGTTTTTATTGGAGTCGAGTATGAATGCCCCCGGGGTCATAGATTCATGTTGGCTGCACCCGATAAAGTATTACGCGCTGCTCCAGGAAGTATTGTTAAAGATACGGGACATAAAATAGCCGAATCGGATATGCCATTATATTTTCCATGTCCCTGCCGGTCAGTAAAGCCCTTAACTGCGCAACTAATGAGGCTACATATAGTTACACCAAAAGCGCCAGTACACTGTACTCTTTATCCTAGGGTAGGTATTAAATTTCATTCAATTTAATTTTTATTTTAGCATTAAAATTGTTAATGAACTAATAAAATTAATATAGATATGTCAGGTACCTATAAATTTATTTTTGTATCAAATCGCATAATTTTCTCTTTGTACGCTTGTTCTTTGATATAATAGAAAAAAAAACAACATTTCTAATAGTTTAAGGCAAAGATCTGTTAATACTGGATGTGGATAGCGCGCTTACGGTTTTTCTAGTGTATGACTTTGAATTCAACGCGGGAAAAGGATAGCATCATCTGTACTTTAGCGAGTGCGATGAGGACCAGTTTGTATCACTATATAAATTAATGGTAAAGACTTAAGAAAAATTTGTGGTGTAATTTTTGTGAAGTTGTATGATTAATTCAAACAATTCGAATAAAAACAAACGGAAAGTTTTACTAAACGTTTAATCAAGTTTCGGATAATATAGCAATTTACCAAAGTATATAAAAGATTACTAATAGGCGAAGAGCCGATAATACTAAAAGTACCGTCATCGCGGAATTGTTAAATTTTTAAAAAAATTAATAATTGACAATTATAACAAAATGGCCTTAATTTACTTAGTCAAAAGTATATTAAAAAAATATAATAAAAAAGAAAAAATGTTTTACCATCATCGCAAAAAAAACAGTCGAATTGAAAACCTCCTCATTTTTGAAGTCGGTTAAAAAATAACCCTACACTGATGTAATGAGAATACTAATGTTACTGCTACTGTAATATAAAATAATGTTTCCAGTATGAATAAAGTTAGGTCATATGATTAATTTTAATTTTACCAAACCAATATATACATTAGTATTTTTTTGGAAATATAAAGAGGTGTATTGCCTCCTGTGAATTTTGATTTTGTTAATTTCATTGTAAAGTTATTGATTTTTTTTTGTTTACTTTTATGATAAATTGACTTCCGTTATTTTCCAACAAATATCCACAATGTGATCTAACCATGGGATGATTTTTAAATGGTTTCTTATTAACCTAATGATATTCAATAAACTAAATTGCTAAATTTACACGATTTATTTAGATGCCGTTTATTGTTATGGACAAAACAGGGACAATTTCCTGGTATCGGAGTATTTGTGTATAAAATGTTACACTAAAATACTATACTTGCGTTATTGCGTTAAGTAAGAGTATATATATCTGTCTTTTTCTTATGTTGGAGTCACTTACCAAGAGTTGCGCGCTATCATATTGAGTATTACTAGATCTTTGTTATACAGTATTAGGAAGATACATTTTTTTTTTTTACAAGTTTTAATTTATATTGCACAATTTTAAAGGGTCTGTGGTATGGAATTTTCTTTAATGTTAATAGTTACTAATACCAGTGGTATTAATTTTGATTAAATTTTCATTACATAACCCCTTATATAAAAAGTTGTAAGGAAGTAAGAATTAAATCGGCAGATTAAGGAACGATTTTAATGTGTTACTTATTTCAGGTGCAACCTGCAGCTGGATCTCCTATATTTATAGCATCTGCCGATGGACCGGTTATTGTTACCCAATCGGCATATTGGGTTATGCGTTTACCTTACGTCTACGCGTCTGATAAAGGCAGTTATACTGAAAATATTACTGCCCGATTATTAGCTAAAGTTTTTGCAGTAACTGCAATTGATGATTAATTTGTATTTATGACTAATAATATTTTATTTTTGATATCTTTGTTTATTCAAATAGCATCTTATGGGGAAAACGATAATTAGAAACTAATTCAACAAAAGCTCTTACAATTAATAAACCTATTTAAACAACGATAAAAATACTGGTAATGGCTTCGCTTTTTAATTTGTTGTGGTAATCTAACAAGTCGGTATACACATTTTACATCTTTTAGGGCATCCTTTGGCTCTTTTTAAAATAATTAATTTAGATGGTCTTAACTTAAGATATATAGAGAGGTTATTACCAAAATGTAACTGTCGGATATAAGCTGGTTGATTTTATACGGAGAGGGTTAAATTGATCTGTATTTATAACTTCTGATTCTACTCTCAAGTCAACGCTAGATTTTTTTAATACTTTTTTTGGGAATATACTGTGCTATATTATATACAAAGTTATAATTATTGTTCATGTTTTCCTCCGCGTGGAATTTATGACTTCATGAGGGTGTTATGAATTTTGCGTTATTTTTTATCAATTTGTCATAGTTAAAATACCTGCAGATCAAAACCACAGAACTTTTAGAGGATACCTCTAAAAAATAGTTAAACACATACATTATTGTTTGTTTTATGAAAGTGTATTTTGATTATTCTTTAATAACTTTACAAAAAACCAAACCATATAAACAGATTTTTTAGACATAACAAGAAGCTTCATTAAATTTATGTTAAAAAGTTGTAAAACTATCTACAGTTGTGTTTTAAGAAGAGGAAACCAAAAGAAAAAGTGAAAACAAAAAGCACGTCTTTTGTTATTATTTTTAATCTACAAGATTAATCCTATTAATAACGCAAAAGAGCTTCTAAAAGAGAGGAGACTGGGAGACTCATAAGCTATGCTCATAAGTATTGGTGCAAAAATGAAGCCTTTGTATATCTATTATCAATGAATGAAGCCCATTCGCCACCAGGGCAATCTGATCATAGGCGTAACTGAGATACAGATATATATAATTTACGGCTAATTTTTGTCGCTTTGACTATCAATTGCAAGAAGAACAATTAAGCATAATAACAAATATTAAAATTAATGTTTTTTATCCATTAATCACTTAGAAATATACAATATTATTCCGCAGTCCACGACTTAGGATAATAAGATTACGGTAAGGAAAGCAACACACATAAAGTGAACGTTGTGATTGCCATGTACTATCTCTTTTTTTTCTCTGGTCGGTAACCATAGAGTATAGTCAGAGATTGGACTCCTTATCTATAGTCACAGTATAAACTATTTACTGTGCTATAGTATTATCTATGGCTATAGTCTTCATAGGCAATGGTCAATCAGCTGGATTTAACCTTAATTATTTTGTTATCATTTGTATTAATAAGTAGCCCATAGTTAATATACTGTAATGTGAATTGTTCGCTATTATAATTTAAAGATAAACATCAGATCTGATATTTTAATTATAGTTATAGCTGAATCGACTGCATTAACGATAGGAAAGTCCAAATAGCAAATAATAGGGCTAGATTTAGTTATTGTCTAATATTTACTAAAAACTGAAAAGAAGTACATTTTAGAAAATATAAAATATGGATGCTGGTGGTGATAGGTAAGTTTTATTTTTCTACTATAACCCCAATAAAGCTTAATAATTTCAGGTTGCAGTATTCAAGTAATATAGCTTTTATTAGAGAAGTGTATGATAGTGAATATGCTCATCAGGTATTTGCATTGGAATTAGAAAAGGCTCTTGATGCTGGATGTTCTGTTATTGTAATTGAACCTACTCAATTAGGGGAAGATACAGCTCAGTGGATTACTGTGGGAAATTGTTTGCACAAAACTGCTGTTTTTTCAGGCTTAGCTTCACTAACTGCAGGTTTGTTATAATTTTTGAGTAAATTTGAAACAATAGCAATAATTTGTTTAACTACAAAAGAAATAATTTCCAAAACATTTATTTATAGTTTAGGCAGTGAATTAGCAGTATAGTTCTTCACAATATAATTTTTGTCTTTCAGTATTAGAGAGAAAGACAATTTTCAATTTAATCATATTAGCATCACATATTTATAGTGTTAAATATGAGTATTTTTTCAAATTTAGGATTTATATGGCCTGATCGACCTTTGGCTAGCACCCCATTGGCGGCACTATCTTTCCTTTGCACTAGTCTCTACACAGCTTCTTGGCAATTTGATAATTGTGTTAAATATCAGGTAATTTTTCCTAATTTTCTAACTATTGTATTACCAGATTAGCTTTAAAATTTGTAAAACATTTTTTGTTTAGGTGGAAAAGGACCCTAGAAAACTTACTCGACTTTTAATTTCTTCTGCTGTAACAGCTTCTTCTCCTGTAGTGTTAGTTCGAAAAGACAATAGAAAAAGTATAATTCTTCATTGTACAGTTTCATTTGCAGCTGCGGCATTTTGTGCTTACAGACTGTACTGCACATTTAAGTAGCCATAAAAATTTCAGTGAAAGTCTAGTCTTGTTTGGTTTAATAGGTATTATCTGCAAATTAAACTTTCAAAAGAAACAGGGGTGAGAGATCCATTTTTAAATGCTAAAGATCGATTTATAAGAGTACAAAAATGACCTATTTGTTTAATGTATCATTAACAGTAGATTTTGGAAGATTATTTTCCACCACTTTTTTGTCTCAGTTTAATGTTATTTCAATTAGTAGACATTTTGTAAATAATTACAAGTAACTGGGTCTAATGTTTATTCAGATAGATCTTGAACAAGTGCAAGTTTCTGCAGATTTACTGTTGCATAAATGATTGTAGTTAAAAGTAAATAAATTATTGAAAATACTATATGTATGTGAAAATGTCACATTAGTGCCATAAAGTAGATTTTATTTTTAATTTTCTTTAATGACAATAAACAAAAACTGCATAAATTGTTAACGAAAATATATTAAATAAATTAAAAAAATACATATTAAAAAATGCTAACACGCTTTTTAAAATTTAACAGTGTTCAACTAAAACAACCGTGAAGCACAAACGATTGCCT